TTTTTTTTTTTCAGAATTGAGTTTCTCAGAATCGTGAATTTGAGTGACTTTAAGATGGTGTGTACTTATCATCTGGGTATACATTCTCCCAACCAGCCTATACCAGACCTTTGCACCTCCATGCAGACCCTGGGACCAGGGCATTTGACTTTGGGTTTGTCATGCAAGTATAAATGAAAAATTTTGCCCAGCATTTTTTCTGAGAGGCTACAATTAATCCTATGGAAACACCCTAGGTCACTAGTACAAAATACATACTTGTTACAGGAAAGGGTTCTTTACCTCCAAATGTCAGTTTTCCTAAGGTCTTCTATGTTTTACAGATCCCACAAACACGGTGCCTGGGTGGCTCAGTTAGGCATCTGACTCTTGATTTCAGCTAAGGTCATGATCTTAGGATCCCAGGATGGAGCCCCATGTGGGGATCTGTGCTCAGTGGAGAATCTGCTAGAGATTCTTTTCCTCTGCCCCTTCTACATACTCTCTCGCAAATAAATAAAATCTTAAAACAAGAATCGCCACAAATGATTCTCAAATAATTTATAGAATTAATGTTCCCTTAGATTATAAATTTCATTGTGATTACAGTTTTTTTTTTCCTCTAGAATTTGGTGTAAAAGACGAATTTTAACTAAAAAAGACCCTTTTCTGGGAGGAAACCAGTTGCTTTGTTTTATAGTCAAACTAAAAAGTGCTATAGTCAGATGTTATAATTCTGTTATTTTGAACATTTTCTAAAGAATTATTTGTATGCATCTCAAAGTCATTTTTTACAAAGCTTGATATAACATTTTTCTCTATTAAAAACTTTAAAAAGTCAAAATGATGAATTTTTATGATCTCCGTGGAAACATCATCTTTAATGACTATTTTTTTTTCTATTTTCAATTCCATTTTAGGGATTTGGAGACAAAAAAAAAGTTAACTTGAGACAACCCTAATTTCCTTCCCCAGCCCCCCAAAAATGTTTAAATAAATTCGTGGGTACCATAAAGATATTTTATTTTAGGGTTGGGCCGCAAAGTGACCAGTTAAGTTTTTCAGGCTGAATGTGTTTTGTTTAGGAGGTGGCAAGTTAAGAGGAAAGGAGAGAATTAAAATATTTGCAAGATGTCATTAATCTCCAGCAAGAGCCTAGAGTTGTTTTTTTTTTCCCTCTTCATTTCAGAACTAATCCAGCTTTCTGTTATTTGGCTCAGAAAAGTCTTAAATCTGTAACAAGAGAGTAACTTCCTGTTCTCAAGAGTATGGCTGCCAAAGAAAACATTTACAAGAAAAGTCCCAGGGCCAAAAAATTGCCTACTAATTATATCTTAACCCCCTCCCACCCCTAATTCAGGAAGGTGAATGCTATAAATGCTATATGTTAAAACTCTGAAGTATGTGTTGAAAAATTAAGAGAAAACCCCTAAGAACTGTTTGCTATTTATTTATATTTTATTGCATTCAAATTACATGAGTTTTATGGCCCTTGGGCACAAATTAATGTTTCTTAGAATATTTTGTTCAGAATTCCACAAAGATTATACTTTATCAAAATACATTCTGGAAATTTTTACCTGGTACCTTCCCAGCTGGAGAAGGGAGAAGCAGCCCCAACGTTCAGGATCTGATCTAGTACTCTCAGCTAGGCCCTGATATTGCTCCAAGTTGGCCTGACACTCAGCAGTGAGGGGTTTTTTTGTTTGCTTGGTTGTTTTTTTTTTTTGTTTTGTTTCAAGATTTATTTGAGAGAGCATGCAAGTGGCGGTTGGAGGGGACGGAGAGTGGGAAAGAGAATCTTGAGCAGGCCCCCTCAGCACAGAGCCTAATCCTAGGACCCATGAGATCAAGACGTGAGCCCTAACCAACAGTCAGACACTTAACTGAGCCACCCAGGTGCCCCACTCAGCAGTGAGGTTCTCCTTGATGATCTGTCTGTTCTGTGCAATGCCAGTCAAAATCCCGGAGCCTTTGGTAGACATGGATGGACTGTAAAACTCATACGGAAATGCAAAGGACCTAGAATAGCCAAAACAACTTTGAAAAAGAAGAACAAAGTCTTAGAGCCTATACCATGTGACTTCAAGCCGTATTAGAATAAGATGGGCAAATAGATCAGTATATCAAAGTAGCGAGTACAGAAATGGACCAATGCATCTATGGCCAGTTGATTTTCAACAGTGGTACTAAAGCAATTCAGGGGAAAATGGGTCGTCTTTTCAACAATGGTGCTAAAACAATTTATACTCTACACCACGTATTAGTAATCTAATCCCGTCCAACAAATTACCCCCAAATTTAACGGCTAGTCTCCCTCTGGTCTTTTTGCCCCTCGCCTCTCTTTCCTCTCTAGTCTCCCTTTGGGGTTTTTCCTTCTCTGACCAATTCAAATGAGTTATCCTCAAATTCGAATATGAGGAGAAGGAGACTACAGTTTATTGAATCTGTTTATCCATTTTTTCCCCCTATGTCCCTCCTGCACAGTCCCACTCACTAGGATTCATTGAGTTTCTAGTCTGTGTCCAATAGGAAATCCTTAAATTTGCAAATATTCCTGATGCAACAACACCTCCTTCCCAGTAATTATAGTGATAATGGCAGGTATCAACTGTGGGCATGTCTCTGGCACAGTGCTGGAGAATTTTTCCAGGGTCTTTCATGTGAGCTGCACAGCCAGCCTATGAGGGGGATGTAATTCCATTTCTAGGCAAAACTGCTTATGGGAGCCCTGAGCCTGAAACAGGCCTGACCAAATGGGTATTGTGACTTACTCCAAGCTTCCCACCTGTGTTCTGGAATCAGGCCCACGTGGTTTCAGGCAATTTTCATCTCTCTTTGAGTTCCATTTTCCTTGTCTGCAAAATAGCACTAGTAACATCTTCCACAGAGAATGAGTGGTTGCAAAGATTTAGTGGATATATGCTGGGCCTAGATTAGTAGCTCTTGGTCTCCTGTATTAACCCAGCCAGGGCTCTTTCTGGAAGACTTTCCATTTGTAGATTTCTTCATGATTATCGAGGTTTGCAATGAATCCCCTCCTTGATGGGAAATTACCCCCAAGGAGCTCACATCACAAGAGAGACCGGAAGTGGACGTGATGATCAGTCAGTAGATGTAATAGGACAAGAGAAGGCTCGGAAAAAAGCCCCCGGGGATTCAAAGACAGTAGAGATCGGGAGGAAACAGACTGGGAACTATTTTGGAGAGGCGAGGGTCTCGAGGTGCATATACCTGTCTCCCCTCCCCGCCCCCCCATCTGGCAGGTGGCACCTGGCATGTGCTGATTGAACTGAACTGGGCCTCTGAGTCTGGATATCAAGAAGAGTGCTGTGGTCGGATGTGGTCTCAGCCAAGACAGGAAGGAATCCTGCCCTTCCTGCCACGTGCCCCCACCTCACCCTTTGCCCTTGGGGGACCACCCTAGAGCTCCTGGAGCAGGAAGATAGCATTTGTTGGAGAGGAAGAGGGTTCCCAGGGTAGACTCACCGTCCACTCAGAGGCCAGCCTTGGTTGGTGCACCCCCTAGAGGGAGGAGGGCACATCGTATCACGCAACTCCAAGCACTTCTTAAATGTGCCTCTTGCTGGCCAGCCCTGAAATCTGTGCTCTGGGGCCAGTCCCACCCAGATGCAAACTCAGTTGCATGGCCTGAATTTTTTGTTTCCATGGCTGGCTCTTGCCTCTGACTAAGTAGCAGGCTTTCTCTGATTCCAGGATCCTGAGGGAAAGCCCCACTCCCTTGCAGCCCAGGCCTGTTTCCTGTTTGCTGCCCATGCTCTCTCTGGGCCCCGGGGACGCCTACAGGCCTGCAGCTCACACCTGCACAGTCCCTCAGCTCAGGGATCCAAAGGCAATATCCTGAAGGAACTTTTTTCACTGCCTGTTTGGGGGACAGGTCTGCCTAAAGCAAGCAACTTTATACACTTCTTCATTTCTCATTCCCAGTGTTGGCAAAGGGGTCAGGAAACCCCATTCTTATCCTGTTGTAAGAATTTACGTGGACACAGATTTCAACAGGCCCAACTGGACCATATGCACCAAAAGACTTAAGTCTGCATGATTTTTGACCCGACCCAGTGATTCCTCTTCTAGGAATTTATCCTGAGAGAGTAATTAGGCAAGTGTACAAAGGTGTGTGTACAAGATGATTCATCAGAGGACTGCTTAAAAAAAGTAAAGATAACTTCCCAAATCCCAACATGGGTGGGTAGGTCGAGTAAATCATAGTACATCAATAATATGGAATCCAGTTAACTGTAAGAAACGGTGGCCTAGCTCTATATATCCATACCTGTATAGAATGGTCATAATGCAGTAAGTGAAAAAAAGATCACAAAGTATGTCATGAGAACAGCATTTATTAAGTGCTTACTGGGTACTAAGCACTATTTGAGAACTTCATGGATAGTAACTCATTTAATCTTCCCACCAACTCCAGCTAGGAAAGAACTATCATGTATCCCACCTAACAGGAGCTCGAAGAGGTTCTATAACTTGCCCAAAGCACACACTAGTGACTGAGCTCAGTCTCCAGAGGCCACGTTCCTAAATATCATGATTTTGCCTTTCAATATAGTGCCATATGTGTTTTAAATACAAAACAAGATAAAAAGTATGTGCATGTGTTTTAAGAAAGCCAAGAAGGATTGAAATGAAAACATTGATAGAGGCATTATTATAGGATGTTTGTTTGTTTGTTTTATTTATTTATTTATTTATTTATTTATTTATTTATTTTTAGGACAAAACCTTGCATACAAAACTGTTTTTTACTTCAGGAAGATAAAATTACTATGTAATATTAGAGTTAACTAAATAACTTTCAGGGTTTACACACATAGACACACACACACACACACACACACACACACACCCTAACTTAAGGTTTATAAATGCCTCTATGGACTGTACTGAAAGAAAGATCACTGTACCCTGACTTCAACACGCCCGAGCCCCATTCTGCTCTCTACCCCTGCTACCTGGTCATGGATAAAATCCAGAGACAACATAGGTAGAAGAAAATACATGGCATTTATTAAACATATGTGACATAGGTTATATCAGAGTAGAACATGCGTGAACAAATTACTTTAAAAAAACAATTGATACTGAAAACATTCAATGATTACCTTTTCACAACATACAAAAAAATTCAGTTAAAGTGAGAAAGGGAAGAAAAAATCACAGGTGAAATAAATACATTGATTTCAGTGAGCCCCATGAAGGCATAAGGCACAAATTAAACCAAGGATTAGCACATGAGAACGAGGCACTTGTGCCCGCAGGAGGCCAGTCTCCACCCGTGGCTCCCACAATTCCATACAGATCCTGGGGACCAAGAGGAGTGAGCACCCTTCCCTGGCAGGGTCAGGTATCCCCAGGTGCCCCTGCACCTATGGACAGGCTTCTTGGCACCAGAGAAACATCGCTTCTAATACTTTTATGGGCGAATAAAACCTTCACGCTGTAACAAATGATCCTGGCGTGAATAACCTGAAATTTCAAATTAATGCCCTTTTTCCTTCCAACCGAAGGCTAGTGAACCAGAAAATAAATTGTGAGGGAATTCTGACAGAATTTCAGTGTCTACTTGGAAAGCTAATGATGGCCCAGTAAAGCATGGTTGGGTGTTTGAAATATGCCCTTGAAAGCTCTCTCTCCTGCCCTCCCCTTCTGCCTCACTTTTCCTTCATGTTTTAGAAGTAGATTAGAACCTCAGCAGTCTCCTTTCTGGCTGAAACTTGGATAGGAGGAAGCAGAAGCCTCCCTTCCCAGACCTCGAGCCACACGGTTCCAGGGCTTTTGTCCATCCGTACAAAGTGTGTGTCTCCACGTGCCTAAGTCAGTGTTTTCTTCGTGGTTAACTCCAAGACCCGTGTGTATGGAGTGTAGTTCCTGGAAGGTATCGAGATTTCACGAGTCCTACCTGTTGGGCTGAGAAATGAGAAAAGGCCGGTCAGGAAGATGGAACAAAACTGTCCATACTCTTCATTGTAAGGCAACTCCAGGAAGGTTTTGCCAGCGCTGTACCCTACAATTTTATAAACTGATATTTGAATTTTCCATTTAAGTATTATAAGAGGGGCCTTTATTTTTAGCAACTTTTTAAGATTTATTTTAGAGCAAGAGAAAGAGAGCAGAGCTGAAGGAGAGTAGAGAGAGGAAGATGGAGAATCTTAAGCAGGCTCCCTGCTGAGCAGAGAGATGGTTGCAGGGCTGGATCCCAGGACCCTGAGATCATGACCTGAGCTGAAATGAAGAATCAGACACTTAACCAACTGAGCCACCCAAGCAACCCTTCAGCAACTTTCAAAGGTTGTGCTAAGCATCGATAATTCAGAAAAAAAAAAAAAAAAAAAAACATATATTTAAGGAACTCCTAATTTGGTGGGAAACAGATGTACATAAATAAGTAATGTGTTAGGTGCTCTGAGAGACACGTGATGAGCTCTGCTGGATAGTCTCCTTTTACCCATTCAGATTACTCTCCCCTGTCTCCACCTCTGTGCCCTTGGGAAACTGATCAGTTTCAGTGGTAAGCATCAATGGGCTCCCTTACCCCTTAGCTTCTGGTTGATTCTGACCGGCTGGGAACTGGTAGCAGGGGATGAGAGACTGGAAGGACAGAGCAGTCAGGACCTGTGTTCCCTCCCAGCCAGGCTGCAGCTTGGTAATTGGCTGAATTCCCCTAGCAAAGGCCACAGCTTGCAGCTGTCCCCATTGTCTGTCCTCCTGGCTTCCTCCCCCTGCCTCTTCAGGCCCAGGCTGGTAACCACTTCCGCTGTACTAGCCCCAGAGTGTGCCACTGCCCCTTGTTCTCTTCGGTCTTCCTGGCCTGTCAGGACTGTGAGCAATATAAGAATTAACATATCATGGGCACACTGAGGACAGAACAAGTTAGCAGCACTTAGGAGGGCATCTGGAAATGTGCAGAGAGCGGAATCTTGCAGGTTGCCTAGGCGAGCCTCAAGTGGTCAAGGAGGAGATGGGAATTCAGGCAGAAGGGATAGGGTGTGCAAGAGCAAAAGGTGAGCACAGGGGCCATGGCTGTGGAAAGGGGACACGTTTGGCAGAACTGGAGCGAAGAGTTCGTAGTGGAAAGTGACAGAAGACGAGGCCCAGTGAGAAGGGCTCTGTGTGCCCGGCTAAGGAGTTTAGAAGGGGACACAGAGCCACTAAATATTTGTAAGGAGGGGCAGGATAAGCTCATCTTTTTATTCGAGCAAGATTCCTCAGCTTCACTGAGGGATGACTGCAGAGGGCTTAGTCCGGAGGCAGAATGTTAGATTTTTTTTTTTTTTTTTTTTTTTGCTATTTAGGATGTGGAAGACTGATCGTGAGAACTTGAATTCTAACTGTAGCACTGGAGGTCAAGTAGCAAGGAAAGGGTAAGGAGATACTGGGGAAGTAGAATTAACCAGGATTTGGTGGCTGAGATGGAGAAAATCTTCCATTTCTTTTTCCTCCTGGACACATAACTACCTTTCCCAGCATCCTTTGCAATTTGATGGGCCATGTGCCTAAAAAGGACGGAAATGATGTATATGAAACTAGAAGAGAGAATTTTCTCTTCCAGGTTTAACTCATAAAATCCTCTTACATCATCCTCTCTGCCCAGTCTCTTCCCTTTCATGCAGAAGATAGAGTGGGGGGTCCGAGAGGGCTCCAAAGCCCAGGCAGGATGAGCAGCTGGAAGAATCCGGGCTCGGAATGACTGCAGCGAGGCCCCTGTCAACCAGCCTTGCTCTGTAACAGGAGAAATCAGTCTTGATGTTGCTAAGCGGAGGTCTGTGGGCTTTTGTTACAGCAGCTACATTCCTTCTCCCCATAATGCCGTGGCGTGTATGAGATAGGAGTCCGCTCCCTTCCCTGAACAGCCCGTAGCCTGTCATTCCTAAAGCGATGTGGATTCTGCCTCCTTAACTGTTTTGTCATGTGTCTTCTCTATTCCCTCAGCCACTGCCCTGGTTCAGGCTCTCAGAATCTCTCTCTGAATCCTGGAGTACTGTTCTAAATGGTCTTCCTCCTTAAATCCTCTACCCAGTTTGCGGTCAGAGAGCTTCCTCATGAGCGAGGCAGTAATACCATTCTTAAAACTTTTCCAAGTCTCCCCATTGCTTCCAGGACGAAGTCTAACCTCCTGTGCATGGTCTTAGAGGTCCTCTGCCATCTCCTGTCATATCTGCTGTCTGGCCTTGCTAAGAAACCCAATTGTCACCATAGCCACACTGCCATTCTCATGCCATCCCCTCTGTCTTGACTGTTTCCCTAATCCAATGGATCTGATGATTCTCTGCCTGCGTTTCGAGACTTAAACCGAACATCACCTCCTGTATGACAATTTTCCAGATTCCGTACCCCAGGGATAGAAATGATCTTTCTTTTTGTGCTTATTGTCCATTTCCTTGAGCAGTGGTGCTCAAATTTTCTGCCTCCACAAGGTCCCCTTTTGCTAAACTTTCCTAGCCGTTAACATTTCCCACTATGCTGTGGTGATTTTCAACTGTAGGTGGCTTACAGCTGCTTCGTGGGGTGTATTAGAAGCTTGGGGGAAATTCGAAACTTCACATGTCTCTCCCCAAGAGATTCAATATGTCTTTTCCATACCCTCCAAACTACCCTCCCCCACATAGACCTTGAAAAGGGCTGTCATATAGGCTTTTTTTTTTTAAAGACTATTTATTTATTTATTTATTTGACAGACAGAGATCACAAGTAGGCAAAGAGACAGGCAGAGAGAGAGAAGGAAGCAGGCTCCTCGCTGAGCAGAGAGCCCGATGTGGGGCTCGATCCCGGGACCCTGGGATCATGACCTGAGCTGGAAGGCAGAGGCTTTAACCCACTGAGCCACCCAGGCGCCCTGGCTTTTTTTTTTTTTTTTTTTTAAGATTTTATATGAGCCAGAGAAAGCATACGCATGTGCAAGAGAGAACGTGAGAGAGAGGACTAGCTGGGGGAAAAAGGAGAAGCAGGCACCCCACTGAGCAGAGTTCCCTGTTGCTATGGTGGGGGGGAGCGGGGGGGCTTGATCCCAGGACTCTGGGATCATAACCTGAGCCAAAGGTAGGTGCTTAACCGACTGAGCCACCCAAGGCCCCTAGATTTCTGACGCACTGCTGGAAGCACCCCATTGACCCCCTCTGGTCTGCACATCCTCTACTAGTCATAGTTTCCTGAAGGCTGAAAACCACACTCATCTTCATGACTCCAGCAGCTCCCTCAGGCCAGGCACAGAGCTATCACGAAATGTATGGATGTTGAAGGAAACCAGAGGAAAAGGGATTTCCAGGAATGAGTGGTCACAGTGTCACCTGCCACAGAGGAGCCCACAAGATCTGGGAATTCAGGGGTCCCCAGGGACCTGACTGGACAATTTAGTGGAGTGCTGGGGCAGAAGCCAGATGGTGACTTTGCCAACCACTATGAAAATTCCACGTAGCAGAAATGGTCTCTGGTGATAATACCCTAAAAGCCTGTAAAAGGCAGAAATATTTATAAAGGTGAGCTTTCTGAGTTTCCAAAAGAGGCTCGGATATCCCAGCCTTTCAAAAAGCAGTGAGGTATTTTATTTGGTTGATGACCAGGAAACAACAGGATTTCAAGAACACAAATGATTGGAACCACAACTGAAATTCAACCACTTTCTTTAACAAATTAAGGCTATTGGTAACCTTTTGTTAGTCCAGAAAGAGGCAGGTCCCCTGGGGGAAACAACAGCAGAGTCAGCAAATAAGTGACAAAAATTACTTTGTGTTCTGGTTTCTACAACAGAAGTCTGAACATGTTGGCACTTTAAAGCCCTTACTATGTGCCCGGCACTTATGACCACTGGGAATATTTTTCATTACATCACACCCATTAAGACATAATTTCTGAGCTTGCTGGAGACCAAGTGTCATTAAGGGGCAAGGAGAAAAAATTTCTTTTTCTTTCTTGTTTTTCATCTTTCTCTTTGAAGGAAGGCTAGCGGGCTGGAAATTGCTCTCAGTGGCTTTCACTAACATGTATCGAAACTTTAAATCAAACTCTTGTGTCTTTTCTTTAAAAAATAGCTGTTTAAGAGCCTCTGAAATCACAGTGAATGCCTTCTCCCCCCTTCCCTCCCTCCTTGCTCTGCTGTAAGATCTCTGCATTCTAGAAACGTATGGAATGCAAGGGTTGGATGAAGAGGGGAAGGAGTTGAGGAGAAACTGGAGGCAGAAGGTGGTCTTCAGTTGACTAGACCTAGAGAGCCCAGGTCTCCAGCAGGCTGGTGTCAGTGGGACTGAAGGGAGGAGACAGACAGCCCTGTACGGGCACTGAAGCTGTCCTGGGGGCACCGGTGTCTGGAGTGAACCGACCTCAGGGACCTGGGAAGGTGGTGGCAGCATCAACAGAAATAGGAAAATGCACCCATCCTGCTGGGCGCTTTATGCCTGTGTCCTATCTCACCAGCCCAGCAGCCTCCCGAGGGAATCACTGTCAGAATCTTCTAGTTCCGGCTGAGAAACTGAGAAAAAGCTGTAGATGTTAGCAAGAGGCAGATCGTCTAACACAGGTTTATGGAACATCCAGAAAGTGCTAGGCTAGTCCTGTACGGGCACTGGCCTGAGAGCCGAGGGTCCCTGTCCACTGGAGTCCACAGAGTTGGCACACATGGGGAAGTGGTGGCAGTGTGGGGAGGAGGTCACAAAAGGGGCTTAACTGGCTCTCTCAGTAAAGGCTGATTTTGAATTTTTCCAGCATAAAAATGGAGCAGCAGTAATTGTAAGGGAGACACTATTAGCAGTAGGACAGCATGAAAAGGCCTCCAGGTGGAGGGAGAAATGAGTCCGAGGTGGCCCGCTCCTGTCCCGTGAGGCTGCGTGCCCAGCACCGGAACATGCCAGGACCACTCTTACATCTCAGCTGACAGAGGCCTCACCCATCGCGGGGCCTTCCAGAGTTTTATGCACTGTCTAGAGGGTTCCAAAGCACGGAGAGTTTAATTGGAGAGCTTAACGCATACTGAAGCACCATCTGTCCATTGAGCAAAATCACTAAAAACCACCAGTAAAAAGTGAATGAAATTGTCTTGGCGTCCCCCAATTCACTTATATTTGATCCATTGTCTTACAAGAAAAATCAGAGCTTTGGTGTAGTTAATAGTAATAATCCCTATTCTTTATTAAGTAAGTGCTTAACCAGTTACCATGCTAAATGCTGTATATACATTTAGTCCCCCTAGAAACCCTCTGAGATTTGGTATTGTCCTCTTTGTTCCCACTTTAAGGATGAAATAATGAAGGCTTCAGAGCAATTAAGTGCTTGCCTAAGGCTGTGCTCGGCTGGCAGCTGGCTGGGCTGCGCAGCCCCATAGCCTGAGGCTCCCCAATGGACCATACTGCCAGGTTCTCTGTGAGAGAACAGGTAGAACAAAACTCCTCTGCAGAAGAAAGGCTTAATGCAATACTTTGATCTAAAACATTTTGGAGGGGGCCATTTTAAAAATATTCTGGAAGACACCATGGGACCTTGTATTAGATGTAAGTTCAAAGTCAAAGTAAGAACCAGGAATTTTGGGGCACCTAGATGGCTCAGTGGGTTAAGCCTCTGCCTTTGACCCAGGTCGTGATCTCAGGGTCCTGGGATGGAGCCCCGCATCGGGTTCTCTGCTCAGCAGGGAGCCTGTTTCCCTTCCTTTCTCTCTGCCTGCCTCTCCGCTTACTTGTGATCTCTCTCTCCGTCAAATAAAAAAATCTTAAAAAAAAAAAAAAAAAAAGAACGAGGAATTTTGTTAGAACATACATAATACAATTTAGCAACCCTGTTTATTATTTTTTTAATAAATTTTTTTTAAGATTTTATTTGTTTATTTGACAGAGATCACAAGTAGGCAGAGAGGCAGGCAGAGAGAGAGGAGGAAGCAGGCTCCTCGCTGAGCAGAGAGCCCGATGTGGGGCTCGATCCCAGGACCCTGGGATCATGACCTGAGCCGAAGGCAGAGGCTTTAACCCGCTGAGCCACCCAGGCGCCCCAACCCTGTTTATTATTTTAAAATGACACACGTACCACACCAGGATTCCAAAGGCTTGCTTCTGATCCTGGCTGTGTGGCTTCCAGTGAATCACTTACCTCTCTGAGCCTCAATTTTGGGATCTATCAAACATGGGGATTAAACCCAACCAGGGGGTTCCAGTTTCTTTATTCAAACAAAATCTTATTTGGGATCCAACATCTAAAACACACTAAAAGCTGAGTTTCTCAGTTTTGTGTCGTTTAGTTTTTCAGGAGGGGAAGGGTCCCCGCAGGCCAGCAGCTCTTTGCTCCCCTCCCTCACCCTGAGGCATCCGGAGGCCTCTCCCTGAGCCCCAGCGTGGAGCCCGGAGCCTAGTGAGGCAGCTCCGAGAAGCACAGGTGGGAAAATGCTGCTCTGAATTTTCTAAAGACCCCGTGCTCCTTCCCACTCAGACCCGTGTGGCACCTTTCACATAGTAGGCACTTAATAAATATCGGAGAGGAAACGAATGGAACCTTACCCTGCCTTTTCGGAAATGCGGATACGTAGCTTTCATTTCCTCTGCTGACTGACCTACGCAGTGAAAGTGCTAAGATGGATCCTGGGGGAAACCAAATGTTACATTTATGGAAAAGCTGCTTTTAGATGCTGAAGTGGCTTCCAAGTTCACCATGGCCATAAGTTAAGGGTCTGTCAGCACTTCCATTATGAAAACCGCTTTGTGGTTTCATAACTTAGCCATAAAAGTTTGCTTCAGGCTATCCTTCAGCATACAAATTGAAAACCCTGTTTTAAGCCAAAACATGGGAATTACAAAACAAACAATTTATTGGTTTCAGACATAGTTTTGCACCCATCTTAAGCCAAACAAGATTTATTATGTGGGCAATTAAAGTGGACTAAACCACTTGGTTCCTGAAAAATAAAAGAGGAGAGAAATGGCCAAACTATTTATATTTCAGAAGGAGGCCCTGGACATGACCATTCTTTTCAGCCGTATTTTTATCATGGACTTCGCCCCTGATATTAATGAGACCTTGAGTCTATTTACGTATCTTTTTCCCTGCTTGAGCCTGTTAAACCTGAGAAATCTACTCAAAACCACTGACTTTGCAGATTGGGAAACGGAGGCTCCAGCAAAGACGGTCCGGCCTGATCGCATCATGTTGCTCGCGAGTACTAAATCCAAGGTATCTGACATCCCAGCTCGGTGATGGGCTCACAACCCTTTCCCGCCAGATCGAACCATTCAAGGTTCCAGGATTCTGCACTTCTGTGGCCTGCTGCTATCTAACACAACACACCCAAATGCCCCTGATCCCATGGGAATTCACCCTCCTACACAGAGTAGTTGGGGTACTTTGGGACTTTGGTTACACAGGCCACATGCCGTCAGCCGAGGGCATCCTCATTCTCACCTTGTTTTATGTCCTCTTTGGGCTGAGCACAGTTGCAAGCACCTGGAGATGGTGGGTGGGTTACTGGGTCCCAGATTCTAATTTTACTAAGGAGAGACCCAGGCATGGTGTGTGGAGCAGTTTAAGGACAAATAGGTCAGTCCTCAAGCTCAGGAACGCAACTGAACCAACAAGGTTGTGGTTCTTGTTCATCTGTCGTGACTGAAACCGCTCAATTTATTCATGACACTGAGCCAGTACTGGACTGTGTCATGGCTCTGGGGCAGAGATGAATTTGTTCAAGCTTTAGACCCTTCCTCCTCTGTGCTACCAAAGCACCTCGCAGGTCCCTCCTGCAGTGTTGTAAATGCCTGCCTCTGTGTTTGTCTCCCTTCCCAGACTGTGGGTTGGGAACCCAACCTCCTTCCTCTCCCTAAGCCTCTGGCACAGGTAAGGTGCTCAGCAGATGTTTGCTGAGTGAATGAATGAGTGGACAGAGGAACCAGTGCATTCACTTCCTGCCAGGGCCCATGTCTCTCTCTGGGACGTGGCTTCCCCAGGCTTCTCTTTGCTACCCCCTCTGCCCTGCACAATGCCCCCAGCTGCCGTTTATCTTTGCAGAACTATTTTTGATAGAAAGAATGCAGTTCTGGTAATCACAGCCCCGTAAAGTATTTTTCTTAAGTCAGAGAGGAATTTGAGTCAGGAAAATAGGAAATTCCCAAATACCTGGGGAGAAGATCACAGCCCACTCCAATCTCTCTGGTCTCCACCTCAGGCTTGGCCTGGGTTTCCATTAAATAGTCCAATCTGCTTTGTAGTTCGTTATTCTAGAGAGGAGGAGAAAAGTACTTTTAGTCAAGCAAATAGGTTCCCCCACAAACATGCATGATACAATTTATATGTGTCATCCAATTTTCCCCTATACCACAGACATCTATCATGACATATTTAGTGAGCATCTTACACAATAGGAATTACAGAAATAGATTGCTTGCTTCCTTACAGATAGCTTTCTGTGCATGTACACACATATGTATCCAATTTTACATCAATGGAAACAAGCAAAATATCCTTTTCTATGTTTAATTTGGGGTTTTCTTCACTCAATTTGTTGTGAATATCCTGCCATGTGTATTAGTTTTCTTTTTAGGTCAACAAGCTGTTGTAGTGGGTTCATTGCGTTCCATTGGGTGGATGTCCATTATTTATTTAACTGGTCTCTTATTGATGGCATTTAGATATTTATCACTTTTCTTGCAATTATAAATAAGGTACAGCTCATGTTTTAATACTCCCTTATTAAACTATAAAATGAGTAAGTCTATTAATTTAATTTAGTGGGAAATACCTCTATAACTTAATAATTAGTATTTCATGGGTTTGGAAAAATTCAGAATCTCAAACATATAAAGTAGAACAAGCTCCTTGGGATTAAAATTAGCATTCTAAACAGTTTTTTTCAGGCCAGAGCCAAACATTACATAGGTTGATGATTAGATGCTCAGGAATTGGAAATTTGCCCCATGGGGGAAATGAAGGACAAAGGAGCAAGAGGTTGAGGCTATTGGAATGAAAAGAGGAAGAGGGATGGTGCCTGATGCCTAAAGGACAAACATACACAAAATCCAGAGACTAAATCACTGTTATCTTGGGGTATTGAGTTTTTAAGTTCTTCTATATTTTTCTGTAATTTTTCTACATTTTCTCTTTTTGCATATTACTAGTTTAACTTTTTTTTTTTTTTCATCATAAGTGTCCTCTTTAATCCCCATCACCTAATTCACCCATCCCCCAACCCACCTCCCCAGGGTGGCCGCACCAGCTTGCATTCCCCCAACAGTGCAAGATGGTTCCTTTTTGTCCACATCCTCACCAACACTTGCTGTTAGATACAGTATTGCCTCATGAAAATTTAGTCTATCTTCTTAGCTATATTCTCAGAGCAGGGCATGCCAGAGATACAAGATAAATATTTATTGAATAAATCAGTGCATAAATACTTTTATAAGGAGCATGTTATCTGCATGATTAGAAAAAGATGAAAGCATTTGTCTTTTCTTTTCAGGTGGACCGGAAGCTCACGTGCTCTTCTAAGACACTAGATGAACACAGGAAAGTTCTTTAAAAAAGAAACTCCTTTGTTTCAAAAGGAAGAATGTGGAGTCTAGCTCAGCAGCTCCTGCTCTGAATGGGTGACATCACGGAGCAGAGCACCGGCTCTGGTATGAACTCAGGAGCTCACTCACGTTCTGTAAAGAAGGTCTGTGGATCCCTTCAGCGGGAATGGGACATGGTAGATGGGGAGAGAGTGCATTCCAGATTCCCTAGCAGCTCACGAGCCAGGACAGAGGGATGGGCTCCAGATTTGTCACCTAATGCTCAGGATGGGAGAATGTTGCTGGCTTACTGCCTGAGGTACAACATTTACACACACTCAAGTACACACAGCTTCCCCAGCAATGTCTGGATTCCTCCATTCTTAAGAAAGACAAAGGCAGAAGAGGCTTGCCCATCAACAAGCTCCAGAAATCCCACCGCCTTGTCTCTTCTCAGTGTAGAGTTTAATAATTTTACATGATTCTGAGCTGACTACCTATAGTTAGGGGGCGTGAAAGGAAGACGAGGTGAGTAAATACGCCTTACGGGTACACTGAACACAGGGGACAAGGAGCCACAAATCCTTTCTTCTATTTCAGAGGAACTGTGTGTGTGCACAGCAGACCCCCCACCGAAAGCGGAAATGAAAAACTGTACTCTTAAATTTAAATGCAAAAAACAAAAGCATCAACTACATATCAGGTAGTGTGTATAGTTAGCTTGAGGGGAGCTAGTTAGCTGTTAAAGAACTAGGGCATGACTGGTACCCCTGAGTTTGGTCTTGTGGGGGTTCAGACAACCCAGCAGAAGATAACAAAGCCATAAGTCCCATGCCAGAGGGACCCACCAAATATTAAGGGAGAACTCAGAGGGGACGCCAAACTCAAGATAGGGAAAATGAGTGAACTCCATAAAGGTATGCTGGACTTATGCAGGGGAAAGAGAGTAAAAGAAACAAAGGGATGAGTATTCCAGGATTGTGGAACATACCGGGTTGAGAACAAGCACCTTGCTGCAGCATACAGGTAGCAAGAGAGAGATACAAAGGGCTACATCTGCCTTTACAAGGACTTTGTACCCAATTCTATACGGCCAGAGTCAACACTCAATTTTATTTCAGTCATTGGGCTTCCAGGTGGAAACTGTCTTGGAAGGAAATAAAACTGGGCAAAAGGAAAGAAAACTCCTTAATTAGTCAAGGAGGTCACCGCAATTTCCTAGTTCAAGGAGTGAGTGCCACATTTATAGCACTGAGGGTGGGCCCTTAATCAGTGGATCCTCCAGCAAAGAATAGCTATAAACTCTGGACAGAAAACAAACAAACAAAAAAACCATCTCTTACGGTCTTTGGAGACTGAACAAGGACAGGCAGGCTGTAGGGGGGAGTGACAAGCTTAGAATAGGTTCTCTGTGACTCATGTGTTTGTTTTCATTTGCAGCTTTGCCCAAGAGCAGTATAGTCATCGTGGCAGCGGCACAGACACATAAGAAATTCAATAAGATCATCTTGCTGGTAGATAAAAAAACAGTAGAAGGAGCCCAGCATAACCAGGACTGCCAAAAGTAAAGGGGAAGCCAAAAAGGAGAGAGTCAGAAAAGGCAGAAACTTTAAATTCTGTGTCCAGACTCCGCTCAAGTTTCTGGCAGATCCCCTCGAACCATGCATGTGTTGGGCTACATGAAAGAAGTTTGCAGCCAAGGCTTCAAGAACAGAACCGAGATCTGAGCCATCGCCCACTAGAGCACGGCAGGGTGGAGGTGGGGCTAACCAAATCCACTGCCTAAAACAAAAACCTCAGCGCCATTCAGAATAATAAAACAATCCAAAGTCTCCACAATAGAACCTTTCCAATGTCCAGGTTATAATCCACAGTTACTGAATTTGTGAAGAGTGAGGAAAATAGGACCCATTTCCAAGGAGAAAGTGAACCAACAGATGCTAATCCCAAGAGGACTTGGATGTTGGACTTTTCACACAAGGACTTTCAAGCAGCTATTCTACCTATGCTCAGTGAGGTAAGAGAAAATATTACTAATTGATGTAGTAACTACACAACACACACACACACACACACACACACCAAATGGAAATTTTTGAACAGAAAAATACACTGCCTGAAATTTTAAAAAGTCAATAGACTGAAGAAAACAAGGGAGATGACAAAGGAAGGAGTCAGGGAACATGAACACCTAGTAACAGAAATCATTCAATCAAGGGTGTCTGGGTAGAACAGTCAGTTAAGCACCCAGCTCTGGTTTCAGCTCAGGTCATAATCTTAGGGTCGTGAGATGGAGCCCCACATGTGGCTCCATGCTCCGTGCAGAGTCTGCTTAAGACTCTCTCCCTCTGCCCCTCCCCCACTGCACTCTCTCTAAAATAAGACTTTTGAAAAAAATCATTTTGATCAGAATAAAATGAATAGAAAAGATTGAAAATAATAAATGGAGCTTCCTGGAACTATGGGACAATTTTTTTTTAAAAGATTTATTTATTTGACAGAAATCACAAGCAGGCAGAGAGGCAGGCAGAGAGAAGTGGAAGCAGGCTCCCTGCTGAGCAGAGAACCTGATGCAGGGCTTGATCCCAGGACCCTGGGATTATGACCTGGACCAAAGGCAGAGACTTTAACCCACTGAGCCACCCAGGCACCCCATATGGGACAATTTCTAATGCCTAATATAAGGGATACTAGAATCATAGAAGGAAAGGATAAAGAAGCTAGAGCAAGAAAAATAGTCAAATAATGGGTAAACATTTCCCAAGTTTGGTGAAGGACATAAATTTGCAAATCCAAGAGTCTCAGCAAACACCAAACAGAAATCTACCGTGGCACATGCAACTCAAACTACTGAAAATCATAAAGAAAAAAAATCTTGAAAGCAATCTTGTTTTATATATAGGGGAATAATAATTTGAATTACCACAGAAGTCTCCTCAAAAAAGCATGGAAGTCAGAAGACAGCATTATGAGAAAGAAACTTATCCCTGAACACTCTGTGATTCAGTCATGAATGTGAAAGGAAGAGCTCACTTTCAGATCAAGAAAAACTAAGTTAATTTGTCCCCGTGCTGCTATGCTATACAGAATGCTACATAAAAGGTCTTCAGGCTGCAGAGCATTGATATCAGAGAGAAACAGATTTTCAGGAATGAGTGAAGAACATCAGAAATAAATACTGTGTGAGTAAATATGAAAGAGTGTATTTTCTCTTAATTTCTCTAAAGTACATGTGACTATTAAAGCAAAAATTATAACAATGTATTGTGGGTTTATAATGCATGCAAATGTGATACCTATAATAACTATGACAGCGGGGGGGGGAATGGACATATATCTTGCAAGATTTCTACATTTTACACAAAGTAGTACAATATTACTTTTAAGTGGGCTATGAACAGTTAATAATATGTTGTGATATGCAGAATGATGGCTAATATATTAAAGAAAAGACACAGCAAAATGCCAATAGATCTATTAAAATGGGTTTCTAAAAAACAATCCAAAAGAAAACAAGAAAAAGGGAACAAACAAATAAGCAAAACAAACCAGAGGGAGTAAACAGAAAACAAATAACGACAGACCTAAATCCAGTCATATCGATTATTAAATGTCAATGGACCGTACACTCCAATGAGAGAGACTATCAGAATATATTTTTAAAAAGCAAGACTTAAGTATGTATGGCCTACCAGAGATGCACATTAAATACAGAGACATGGATCAGGTGA